ATTATTATTATTATTATATGATTATTATTATTACTATATGATTATTATTATTATTATTATTATTATTACTGTTACTATTGTTATTGTTGTCATTATTATCATTATTATATTCATTATTCTTATTATCATTATTATTATTATCATCATTATTATTATTATCATTATTATTATTATCATTATTATTATTATTATTATTATTATTATTATTATTATTATTATTATTATTATTATTATTATCATCATCATCCTCATTATTATTATTATTATTATTATTATTATTATTATTATTATTATCATTATTATTATTGTTATTATTATTATCATTATTATTACTAATATCTTTATTATTGTTATTATTGTTATTATTATTATTGTTATTATTGTTATTATTATTATTATTATTATTATTATTATTATTATTACTGTATGATTATTATTATTATTATTATTATTATTATCATTACTATTACTATTGTTATTGTTAGCATTAGTATCATCATTATATTTATTATTTTTGTTATTATTATCATTATTATCATCATTATAATTATTATTTTTGTAATTGTTATTATTTTTATTATTATTATCATTATCATTATTATTATAATAATTATTATTATTATTATTATTATTATTATTATTATTATTATTATCATTATTATTATTACTATTATTATTATTATTATTATTATCATTATTATTGTTACCATTATCATTATTATCATCATTATAATTACTCTTATTATTATTACATTATAATCATTATCATCATAATTATCATTATTATCACTGTCAATGTTATTGCTATTGTTATTATTACTATCTATATCACTGATATTATTACTACTATCGTTATTATAAATATCATTATTGTTATGATCATCACTATTGTTTTTATTATCCTCAACATTTCTTTGGAGGAAAAAAAAACTTTCGATTTCTCAGGCTGTATATAATCCTGGAGAAACGAGGTGCACGTAAGAATCAAATCACTCTGTTTTTTAGCCTTAAAATCAACCTTATGGTACGATTTAATTGAATGCTTCACTTCGTTTTGATAGCTTTTTTTTAATAGGGTTTCGAAAGCATTTTTTTATGGGGTAGAGTGGGAGTCACTGTAGGGGGGAGGGGGTGGAGGGTGTCCCCCTTGTGGGTTTATAGGGGGGGAGGGGAGGGGGTATGGGGGGTCTGTGTATAGTGGGGGGGAGATAAAGGTTATTGTGGGAAGAGGTATGGCTAAGAGGGGGGGGGTAGTTGTGTGTATGTGTGTGTGTATATTTGTGTGTGTGTGTGTGTATGAATATAATTATGATAATTATGACAAGCGATAATAAAATCCCTCTCCTAAAACAACAACAACGAAAAGCCTCTCCCCCCCCCAAAAAAAAAAAAAAAAATACTGCGCAGGTCTACCCACTTGTACTACGGTCGATTGATATTCAGTCAATTATGCAAATGAGACGAAAGATAACAGATTCGACAGTAGTCAGTGGAACGAAAAACAAACCTCTTATGTTTAGGCCGCAGAGAATATGTAGTGAATGTGTGTTTTGATTACTGAGTGAAGCTATTCCTGTTATAGTTTGTATGTTCTTAGTTCGAGAAAATACTACAGATTTATATCCATATTATTCATAGATTTATTATCATTATTATTCTCTCTCTCTCTCTCTCTCGCACATACACACCGAAACACACACACAAATCACATTAGGAGCGGGTCGTGTATAAATCTGTTAAACCAAACAGATGCTACTTTATTAACAAACCAGTATTCTGCTTATGATAGTCAGTTTTACGTCACAAAGGGCTTTTATTTGACAGATAGATGCTATTACCCTGAATGGATGCTGCTTCATAACCTCGGCTAGTTGCCAAGACCCGCTCCCACCTCCACCCCCCCAGATCCGTGTGTTAAGGGGCCGTCTTCTTGATCCCCCAAAAGGAAACCACTGTATATAACTTACTGTACTAGATGGAGGTATTAAATCATATCGTAAAGATGGACAGATGTTATGAGTAAAGGGTATTTCCCATCCCTCTTTGAAAGCTCTTCTGCATGGCGCTCAAAAACACAAACACAAAGTAAACAATACGTGGTCATTGAAACTGTAAAATCCACTCAATCCGAAACTCATGTAAAACGTATCCTGTTACAGAGAGAGAGAGAGAGAGAGAGAGAGAGAGGGAGAGGGAGAGGGAGAGGGAGAGAGAGAGAGAGAGAGAGAGAGAGAGAGAGAGAGAGAGAGAGAGGGAGAGGGAGAGGGAGAGGGAGAGGGAGACGGAGAGAGAGAGAGAGCGAGAGAGAGAGAGAGAGAGAGAGAGAGAGAGAGAGAGAGAGAGAGAGAGAGAGAGAGAGGGAGAGGGAGAGGAAGAGGAAGAGGGAGAGGGAGAGGGAGAGGGAGAGGGAGACGGAGACGGAGAGGGAGAGAGAGAGAGAGAGCAAGAGAGAGAGAGAGAAAGAGAGAGAGAGAGAGAGAGAGAGAGAGAGAGAGAGAGAGAGAGAGAGAGAGAGAGAGAGAGAGAGAGAGAGAGAGAGAGGGAGACGGAGAAAGAGAGAGAACGAGAGAGAGAGAGAGAGAGAGAGAGAGAGAGAGAGAGAGAGAGAGAGAGAGAGAGAGAGAGAGAGAGAGAGGAGAGAGAGAGGGAGAGGGAGAGGGAGAGGGAGAGGGAGAGGGAGACGGAGAGAGAGAGAGAGCGAGAGAGAGAGAGAGAGAGAGAGAGAGAGAGAGAGAGAGAGAGAGAGAGAGAGAGAGAGAGAGAGAGAGAGAGAGAGAGAGAGAGAGAGAGAGAGAGGAGAGAGAGAGAGGGAGAGGGAGAAGAAGAGGAAGAGGAAGAGGGAGAGGAAGAGGGAGAGGGAGAGGGAGAGGAGAGGGAGAGGGAGAGGGAGACGGAGAGGGAGAGAGAGAGAGAGAGAGAGAGAGAGAGAGAGAGAGAGAGAGAGAGAGAGAGAGAGAGAGAGAGAGAGAGAGAGAGAGAGAGAGAGAGAGAGAGAGAGAGAGAGAGGGAGGGAGGGAGGGAGAGAGAGAGAGAGAGAGGAGAGAGAGAGGGAGAGGGAGAGGGAGAGGGAGAGGGAGAGGGAGAGGAAGAGGGAGAAGGAGAGGGAGAGGGAGAGGGGGAGGGAGAGGGAGAGGGAGAGGGAGAGGGAGAGGGAGAGGGAGACGGAGAGGGAGAGAGAGAGAGAAAGCGAGAGAGAGCGAGAGAGAGAGAGAGAGAGAGAGAGAGAGAGAGAGAGAGAGAGAGAGAGAGAGAGAGAGAGAGAGAGAGAGAGAGAGAGAGAGAGAGAGAGAGAGATTATTAATTTTTCAGATGCCATCGCTCGCCCATCATAAAACCTGAAAATAATTCTAGATTGTGAAACTGCAATAGATCGCTATTTTTTAAGAATTAAGTTATTTTGATATTTCCTATTATGCAGAGAGAGAGAGAGAGAGAGAGAGAGAGAGAGAGAGAGAGAGAGAGAGAGAGAGAGAGAGAGAGAGAGAGAGAGAGAGAGAGAGAGAGAGAGACATGCAGGCGAATAGAAAGAAACAGAAAAACAGAAATAAAGAAGAAAAAACAGGATAGGATAGAAACAAAACCCTCCCCAAAAAAAAGAAAAAAAGAAAAAGAAAAAGAACCAAAAAATACTCTCAAAAAATGATGAAAGGGAGGGGTAATCTATCTCATCTCCATGGATCTCTGCTTGCTCCTAGCTAACCTATCAGTCGCCTCTGTGATTGAACAACACGTGGCTCAAACTCATGCTGTTTGATGACGTAATTGGCCATTATATCGATGAGAGAGGGAGGGGGGGGAGAGGAGGGGAGAAGAGGAGGGAGAGGAAGAGAGGGGAGAGGGAAGAGGAGAGAGGGAGGGGAGAGGGGAGGGGAGAGGGAGAGGTGAAGAGGAGAGGGGGAGGGGAGAGGAGAGGTGAAAGAGGAGAGGGGGAAGGGAGGGGGAGGGGAGGGGGAGGGGAGAGGAGAGGTGAAAGAGGAGAGAAGGAGGGGAGGGGGATAGGAGAGGGAGGGGAGGGGGGTAGGAGAGGGAGGGGAGGGGGTAGGGGAGAGGTAGTGAAGGAGAGAGGGAGGTGGGGAATGTGAAGAGGGAGGGGGGGGGGTGTAAGGGCAAACAGGGAGAAATGGAAGTGGATTGGGAAGGTGGAGGAGAGGGAGAGAGAGAACTGAAGAGGGAGAAGAGGATGGCGGGGAAGCGTTGAGGGTAA